ACGGGAGCAAAGTCCCGCTCTCTGTTCTGCCATGCAGCATCAGTCTCATCTGTCTCTCTCACCGGTGCCACAGGTTCTTTGGGACATGGTGTGGTGACTACCCAGTCCACCTCAGCTAATATGAAGGCCAAGTCGATCTTTTTCTTTCATTCAATTTAGTTATCCCCTTTTAGAATGGAGGTCTCTTTGATACAACTCATCAAGTTGTATCCGTCTGAAAACACAATTTAAATAGTGTGAGAACACAAATAATAACAACAACAATTGCATGTCTTAGTTCAACGTTGGTCAAAATTAAAACATATTATTCGCTTTATCCGGCTTTCAAACGAGAAACTTAGGATTGTTTGACGCTATACATTAAAAAAAAGCTGACTACATTTGGTTGCAAAGCCTCCATCGGATTTTTTTTTTAGTCGTTTTTATTCCTTTGGCCCATGCCACGAAACTAGAAAATTCAAATGCATACATTAAATCTACATCACCGCTGGGCAGAAATAGAAATAATGCATAATCATTAAAATTATAATATTGCTATTAACAACGTTGATCAGAAAATAATAATATCATAATCAACTCATATTTATCTCTTGGCTCTTAAAATCAAATTCTTCCGTTGGTTCGAATTTAATTAAAAGTCCATAATAACTTTAAATACGCAACAGAAACTTTAATAAATCTCATAATTCTATTTTCCAGAAACTCTTAGAATATTATATAGTTCTCCGAACAAAATTATCATTGGACAAAATTGCCAGAGATTTACATCAAATTCTATTCAAAACCTCATCAAATATGAAGTAAACAGTTTCTGGAAAAATAAATAAACAAAATCACGAGCTATATTGTGTATATGCCATTTTGGCCCAGAAACGCGCTCACCGGCCCAGCCGCGCCGCGCGCGCTTCCCCGCGCCCAGGCCGCAACGTGGGCTTGGGCCGGGAAAGTCCTTGACCGCCTGGGCCAAAAGCCGGCCCGATCGATCGCCACCGTTTGTCGCGATCCGACGGTCGTCCGTCGATTTCGCAGGGATAAAAACTCCGTTGGCCGGCGCCCACCCGAAAACCCTAGCCTCATTTCTCTGCTGCCTATCTCTCTCAAAGTCGAAGAAGCGGCGGGCCAGTGGCGACCATCATCATGAGGAGGACGCCGGCCGCCGTAGCTGCTTTCCGTTGCTCCCGGCTCTCTTTCTCTTTCTCCCTTCTCCCCCTTCTTCGTGTGCCTGCACCGCCCAAGGACGAGCAGCAGTGGTGTCCGCCCATGGCGGCCCGGAGGAAGAAGATGGAGATGGCGCCGCCGTGAAGTTCCTCGCCGGCGCGCGTGCTCGCCCATGGCTGAGCACGCCGCCGTCGAGTAGCCTTGCGACGGTGCCCTATTGGCCAGAGCTTGCGGCTCTTTTCTCTGTGCTCGCGTAGTGGCGGTTTCTTCTCCACACAACGGCAGTGGTGCCGGCGGGAGAGAACGGCATGTAGGTCCCTTCCACTGCGCCGATCTGTTAGGTTTAGGGTTTGAAGCTGTTCACTGTCCCGATCCGATTTGGATCGGCCATTCTGATCTTTTCGCCAAACCCTGATCTGTTCTTTAGGGTTAGGGTTTGAGTCATTTCTGTCCGGATTGAAATCCGTCTTTCTTTTGTTTTGGGTTTCTTGATTCCAAAACCTTAGATCTACACCCTAGGCTGGCGAACAGCTAGGGTTAGTGTTCTTTGTTGAGACCGTGTCTCAATGTGTTTCCGACTTTTCCCGTACCCGATCTAGAGTTAGGGTTCGATTTTCTCTTCTTCCCGATCTAGATCTACGACTAGACAGGCATCCGATACCATTGTTAAGAACATTTAGGATCTCTAGCAGTAGATCTAGGAGGGATACACATGGATTCGGAATAACACATGCACATGTAAACCTAGAACACTACACCGAGAGGGAGACAGAGAGACAGAGGGGTGTGAGGAGAGTGAAGGGTTCACAGACCATTGGATCCCGTGGAGTTGGAGCTCGATCCGGCCATCGCTGGTTCGTTGATGGAGGCAGCACACGGGCAACAACGGTCGGTGAGGAGAGGCGACGCGGTGGAGACGGTGATGCAGTGCAGTGGCGACGGCGAAGTCAGTGGAGCTTCCCGTCGCTGGCTGCGCGCCCTCTCAGATCGGTCTAGGGTTTGTCAGTGGGGTTTGCGGCTCACGGTGAACCTCGTACCTCAAGCCGCCGGCCCCCACCACTTTATATAGCGCTGTGCGACGGGGGCCCACCAACCATGTAGGGTTGGGCGCCCCGATCAGAGAGTGTGACCAAGGCCCAATAGGCCGTTGGGCTTATTGGCTGAGAGATCAATCTAACAATATAGTTTGCTCCTAGCACAATAAAACATCCTAAAATTGTTAACATTTTTTTGAATGAAAAGCTGATCCTGTTCACTGTTCGTTGCATGTTGCCACCAGTTTGCTATGTAGAATGCCAGATTCAGTCTGCAAGTGTTTCTAGTTTCGTCCGATGAGCTTTGAAACCATGTTCTCACTTATCAGGAGCAATATATCTATTCAAGTTACACTCCAATTTCACTTTTTTATTGGATGAATAATTTTCTTTGCATCTGAGCCAGGAATCAGCTACTAATAAATTGTCAGCAATACACAACAAGGAATGGTAGGGCTGATGTCTGTCCTATAACTATATGTATTCTTGTTCTTCATCCTTCAAACACAGTTTGCCAGTGCCAAATCAGCACTTCTGTTAATATTCATGTGCAGAAAAAATAACTAGTATTCAAATTAATAAATGGAACATCTTGATTTTGCTCCACGCCTCAACTTGTTTTCTTATGTTTAGAACAATTTTGAAAGAAAATAACAATTACAGTGGCTTTTTCTTTTTCTTCTTTTGCTGTTACTAGTTGTGATGTCGCATCACTTTATTTTTGCAAGTCACACAAACTGCTGTTGGTGAAGTTGTTTCGTATGCGAGGATGGTGATGGAACACAAAACCTTTGAAATTTCTTACACTAGTCTGGACCAGACAGATGTGAACTGATGGTTCTGCTGGGGGCCTGTCAATATTAAGCATCAACAGCATACAAGTGGCCAGTAAACTGTCCTCAAGAAGACCAGTGGCCAAGAACAAGAACTTCAGTCGGTAAGGCTCGGGCGGGCTTACCTGATCAGTGATTATAATGAGTGAATCATGTGGGAAATGCATTTTTCTTACATGCTAAATCGAGTAGTTTATGTTTCCTCGCTATTACACGACATTCTAGAATAACAAGGAAACAAAGAATAATAAAGACCCTGGCTGGTCCACATATAGACCTTTCCCTTTTTTGATGGATGAATCTTTTTGAAACTTTTTACTGTTTTCCTCTGTTTTTGTTTTGTCGCTACCCTATTGAAAGAATATAAAAATCTCACAACCTTACATGTAAATGGTAACTCGGTAAAAGTAAACTTCGATAAATCAACTCCTAGAGTTATTTGAAGTCAAGCTTTTTTATATGTTTGACCGAATTTATAGAAAAGAGCATAAGTATTTATAAAACAAAAAATAAGCACATTATAAAAATATATTTTATTATATCCAATAATACTAATTTGGTGTCATAAATCTTTACACTCTTTTCTACAAATTTGGTCAAATTTTAAAAAAAGTTACTTAAACTAACTCTAGGAATTGACTTATAGGGACGGAGGTAGTATGTGTAATTAGGGATGGCCATTCACTTGTCTGCAACTCATCAACAGGACAACCTTATGTTTTCTTTGCTATTACACAATATTCTTTTTTTTCGAACAAATTATTACACGATGTTCTAGAAGAACAATCAACGAAGGACAGAGACCCTGGCTGGTCAAATCAACCTGTTTGAACCTTTTTTATTGTTCCCTCGGTTTCTGTCTGTTATCCTATGATATTAGAACTTAGAAGCATCTTAAACTTTAGCAGCCCAAAACCTTGTGTCTTTTTGTCTAAATCCTACATGTATGTAATAACTCACCTTATTGACAGATTATATATATACAAGTTGGGACGGCCATTCAGTTGTTTGTACCCTTCAACAAGCGTTAAGAGCACCAACCCCATGCATTCTTTTCTGCAACTTGGAGAAGCTAATGCGTCTTGGTCAAGGGCTGTACGCACAGCATACCGACAACACAATAGACAACATCTAAAAGGTATGTTCTACTTACTAATCTGAGTGAGTGCAATACCTATTCAAAGGTTAATGATTACTTAAATCAAATTAGCGATCGTTTCGTCATGCCTTCTTCTTGTGCACTAGCTTAAACGCATAATAGGTCCAAATCGGCAAATCAATCGGACCCAGGAAATCAGTATCCTGCTGCCTTATGCAAATATCAAAATCAAAAGCTATGACGACCATTAGTGTTTGTTCAAAGACATTCTTTGATTCTTTCCTTTAACAAAGGGGAGACCAAGATATGGTATAAAACACAAGGATGGCGGCAAAGGCTGACCAAACAGCACTTGAAGTACATACATACAGAATTATAAAAGCTGATAAGCCTGCAGAAGGTACATCCAACAGGAAAAATGAAATCCACATACATACATATTATACCCACATTCTGGTGTGGCACTACTACCTTACTTGCATTACTAGTATATAGTATTCTTTTTTTGGGGTGGGGGGGTTAGGTTAAAGGGTGCGAAATCGCGGTTACAAGGGGAGGAAAGTGAGGGGAGGTTGGAAGAAGAGTGAGGAGGGGAAAGGGACAAGATACCAGAATAAATTGCTGAGGACACCATGATTGGGCTGCAAGGAACGAACGAACGAATTGCACATTGTGTGGCCTGAGGAGGGACGGTACAGTGCAATAGACTTCACCCCTGCCCCCGTGCCAAAAGCAACGCCCTGATGGCTACCTGCTCTCTACCCCGGCATCCTCCTGCTGTTGCCTATTTCCTTTCCTCCGGGTGTTTTGCATAGGAGACCTGCAGCGCAGCCACATTTGTTTGTTCCTAGCTCGTTTTCCTCCCTCTCCGTGGGGATGGGGTGGCTCCACTCCCTCTTCTCCCCTCTCAGGAGGATGTGGGTGAGGGCGCATTCCGAGCGCCGCAACCGTAAGTAGTTCTAGTTCATCATCATCATCATCATCTCTCTCTCTCTCTCTCTCTCTCTCTCTCTCTCTCTCTCTCTCTCTCTCTCTCTCTCTGCCTCTGAGCATGGTCATCGTATCATATCCTGCAAGCGCATCGGGCACTCGATCTTTGTTGTGATCTTGCTGCATTGCAACTTGAAACATCGTGTTCTTGCTGGCCTGCCTGCCTGCCTTGCTGTTTCTGAACATGCATATGCTTGCACAAATTGACTTGCATTGATAGATAACTGGGGTGACTTTGCTTGATTGGCAGGGAGGGGAATGCACATCCTGTACAAGGACGTGCAGTCGTGCCAGGACGAGGACGTGCACGTCCTCTGGTCCATCCTCATCGACTCGCACCGCCACCCGGCTGTCCTCAAGCTCAAGCTCTGAAGAAGCTCAGCAATGGCGTGTACCTATTTATGTGGGGTACAGTGTGAGAGAGCAGCACTGCTAGCTAGCTCCCTTGCGTACGTACGTAGTCCTCCCATCCTTCAGTACTACTCCTATATGGTTTGTCTTTGATGAGGGTACTCGCTCATCGGCCATTGCCGCCGCCTTCGCATTCCGAAACCGAAGGGGGGAAAAAAGAGAATGAAGAAGAGAGAGGTTTCTATGGTTGTGTGATGTTTTCCCTTTGTTTCTTTGAGGTTGAGATGTCACCTTTGTTTGTGTTGGGCTTGAAAAATGAGTGTGAGGTTGAGCTCTCTGTACATAGACACACACAACACTTGCTCAAGTGCCTTACCTTAAATTCCATCGTACTGTACAGTTGTGTGTATTTGCATTGTACGTGTGTATGTATGGGATGGAGGCTGCTGGTTGTTAGACTGTATCTGTCCCTGCTTTTTGGTTACATTGTTTTTTAAATTGCCCGTCAATTTCTTGGTGCCCTGACGCGTCCCTGACCCTCGTTTTCTCACGCACGCACGAATGGCTGCCAAGTGGTCGTGCTCATGTATTTTGGACTAGAATATATGCAGCTAGGTTTTAAGTGTATCGATCAATGCTTCTATATAATCCAGAAAGAGTAGTCCAAGACAATTTGGGTAGTTTTTTATTTACTTTATTGTCACAAATTGCCAGAACAGAAATAAATATCTTTCAGCGGAAGCAGCCGGCTTGCCGACACTCGTATGTATGTATAGCCGTATGTATTCATCGTGGAGCCAAAGGTATATATCGTGTGCACGGGTTATTAGACTTTAACTATGTAGGAGTTGTTGAGCAAGATTTTTTATATGTATGTATCTTTTGAAGCAAACATTTATGTATTTGATGAATGATGATCACATATATTACCTTATCTAGTTATCTAGAAAGACTTCAGATTCAACTATACTTTCACCTACCTACCAAGATATTCTTTTTATATGTTTCGTTCACTTTGCATCAGTAAAAAGGTTACACCTGGCCCCCGCAACGGTGGGGCCCACTTTGCACCAGTCGTGTTCCTTGCTTTACGAGTATCTCCTCTGTCTCAAAACGAATGCTTCCAGATTTGATTTAAGTTAAGCTATCCTAAATTTAAGTAAATCTATACTTAATATTAAGAGCAGTCCTAACAGGGCAATAATGATGATTTCTATCTCTAATAAGTGACCCGTCAACTAAGCAAAATACTGACGTGGTAACCTAATTAACGAGAAGAGAGAAGCAAGATCGAGGGAACGTTTAAACCACGTCTACTTTTGAACCGAGGCAACAAGAAACCGCAATTTTAGCGTTGGGAGAAAACCACCCGTTTCTACGTGATGGGGCCCCGCGATGGCCGCCCCGCGCTCGCCTGCTGGCCGCTCCGTTCGTGTGCTGGCCGCCGGCTCGAGCTTGCCAGCGCCACCGCGCGCGCTCGCGTGCTGGACCGCTGGGCGTCCGCCGACCGCCGGCCGCCGCGCCCGAGCTTGCCCGCGCCACCGCGCGCACTCGCGTGCTGGGCCGCTGGGCGTCCGCCCACCGCCGCGCGAGCTTGCCAGCGCCACCACGTGCGCTCGCTCGCGTGCTGGCGAGATCCATGGTGAGGGCGAGCACGAGCTCAGGCCAAGCTCGCCGACGACCAGGCTGCGCACGCCGTCCGCGTAGCCCTCCGTCGACGACCAGGCCGCGGCGCCGTCCGTCCAAGCCGCGTAGGCCCCGCTCGCTGCGCCACCGCCGGTCCAGCCGCGCAGGCCCCGCTCGCTGCGCCGCCGTCCGTCCAGGCCGTGCTCGCTGCGCAGGCTGCGCTCACTGCGTTGCCGTACGCGGGCTGCGCTCGCCGCTCTGCCGTCCGGCCAAACCGCGCTGCCGTACGCCCAGGCCACGCGCACTTGCTGTGCGTGTGCTTGTTCCTGATGAATAAACTCAGCCGATTGAACAGTTTAACTTGGCCGTGCTGAGCAGTGAGCAGGAGTACACTCATATAGTACGTTGCTTTTCAAGCGTTCATCCGTGGAAGGATGGTGACTACATTAGCTTCTTGAACATTTAAAACGTTGTTTTTTTTTTAACTACTAAAATCCATACACGCGCGCGCGCAAGCACCTAGCACACATATACCACGGAAATTTGGAACGCATGATATCACTAGTTAAATCTCTAATCCTCCTATGTCCATACGAGTTGGAGCAATGCATGTCTACGTACTATACAATATTCAATTCTAAGAGGATTTGGAACACTTAACATGATCGGGTTAGAGCAATGCATGTCTACGTACTATACAATATTCAATTCTTAGAGGATTTGGAACACTTAACATGATCGGGTTGCAAGCCGTCCAGAAAGGCAGAAACCAGAGTACTCTGTCTCGTACAATAAACTATACTTCCTGTTGACTCTGTTAGCTCAAAAACGACCCATTACTAGGGGTGCAATTGCACATTTTAAGATTCTCTCTGATCCTTGATAAGTGGTTTGAATCGTGATGTCCAGGATCCAATGTTGTAATTTAGTTACACAATACCAGTTGTTCAGTGCAGACGATTAGCATGCAACACTTCTGTTTGATCTGAAGGTAATAAATACTCCTAGATTGACATTAATTTATTCCAGTTATGTTGATCTGAAATTTTAACAAGCTTATAATTCACTATCCATACATAGGCAATATCTGAAGATATGTTGGGGACAATTAATAAAAAAAACAAGTCTAATATTTCCCCAAACTTCTATATCTTCTGTCAATAAGGTCAATGAAATCTAATCTAATTAATTAGAAGTGCTGACATGGTAAACTTTTGTGTAGACAAAAAAAAGAAAGCAACAGATAAGTGAAAACCAACACCAAAATTTCACATATGGTTTGGTAAGCAAGCAATTGCTCAGACAAGAATTGAGGTTGTTACCAAATAAAAACAGTATATATGTTGCTCCAAAAGATTGACTTCTATAAGCGGGCATGTAAAGTTAGCTGTTGCAACGAATTTGCACATACTCCCTCCGTCCCGCAATGTTTGTCGTTTTGACACAGCATTTAAGCGTCCAGGTTCACAGGGTAGTCCATGCATCCGGACACAATGACGCCTAGGTTCAAACAACGTCTGATGCACCTCGTTCAAAGCTACAACTACTAATATATCGGGACAGAGGGAGTATCCTGATACTGTTCGCAACTTCAATAGAGTGATCACAGATTAGAAGACTTTAGTAAGAGTGTCCAAAATTGCAAAGCAACAAATTAAAGGCTATGAATAGGAATAGGAAAACTAAAATTTGGGTATTAGACATAAAGGCAACACAATCTTGAATGGGCATCGAATCTTCATGCATCATCTGCAGAGATGTGGCTGTCAAAGGGATCATCCTGTTTGTGCCTGCTGTGGGTGAGCGAAATCGAACAAGAACCTCTTCTGAATTTAGATTCAGCACCTTGAGAAGCTTTGTTGTCCAGTTGAAGCCGTCTGTGTTGATTAGCCATCCAGTTATCATTGCAGTTGTTAATGCATCCAAATACCATTTTCTTTAGGACTTTTGCATTCAAAACAAAGAACTTGGCAAAGTCAACATCAGGTCTCATGCCCCAATACTTCATCACCACCACTTGTCTAAGATGAGACTCAAGGCATTCAATTGGATCCAGTGGATTATAGCTCCACTTATTTTTCCTACTCTTCTGTAGGTCAACCTGGATAATAAAGAAAGAAATAATATGAGAGCAGTTACTACGCAGTCGGCAATGTCACACAGTAGCTCACTAGATTATACTTTGTCTCAATTGTTCATATTGGCACATGAAGCAAGCAAAGACAAATACTCACCCTGATATACAGCTTCTGCAAGCAGGGGAAACACTTGAGGAAGTCAACAACTGAGTCCAGATTTGGCCCGAAAGTGTCAAGGGCCAAAACCTTTACAGTAATACGCATTGAGGTTGTCATGCTTAGGGCAATCATTTTCTGGACAAGAATCAGGAGACATCACAATTAGACACTAGCAAATATAAATCTAGAATACAAGATGGAAGAATTGAAGGCTGCTGCTACCTGAAAAACAGTGGTTCCAATATGGAGTTTAGTGATGCTATCCGACAGCCAGCCCAATATCACTAATTTTGGCGCCCGCACGACCCGTATTGTTAATGGACCACGGATCGGGTAAAGTGGTAACAATCTTTCAAGGCAAGATAGGATTTTCTACTCTCGTCCCATAGCAAGAAACACTGATGCCAATGCTCCTTAGAGTGGGCGAGTTAATGCGGAGGCAACCAACGCCGACATTCCCCTCCAGCAAGAGGCTCTCAAGAACAGGGCAACCACAGAGAAGGCTGTGAAGTACATCTTCCAACACGATGACACCACACAGGTTGAGCTGCTTGAGGCAGGGAAACTTGAGCAATGGCGCCATCTCTCTAGGGAAGTCGCAGTAGCCAAAGTAGGCAATGCGGAGGGTGGGCGCGAAGCGTAACGCGGACGGCGGCAGCGGGTAGTGCAGAAGCGGGTCCTCGATCTCATAACTAAACTGGATCTCCTCGAGGCCAGTGAGGGTTTGGGAGCGCAACCAACCGTTGATCTTGGCGTAGCGGTCGCGGAGGCGCATGCAGGGAACTAGGGAAGGGAGAAGCGGCGGGAGGGGCCCGGGTGGTCGGAGAGGATCTTGGAGACGAAGACGAGTCGCTTCTGGTCCTGGTCGGTGAGGTCGCTGCCGGCACCTAGGTTGAGAGGCGCTGCGCGCCAGAGAGGACGCCACCGGCGGGAGACGGCTGCGTGCGAGCGCCGTCCTTGGTGGGGAGGAGGGAGATGACGGTGCCCAGAACCTCATCGGGGAGCCGGCTGATGAGGTCGAGGCTGCTTTCGCCCGCGCTATTTGCCACCCCCCTGTGGTTCTTGGCCCTCGATTAGACGAGATAATTGGAATTTCGCCATTATCAAAACGTGGGCTTCGCTCGTTTGCCATTCCGTAAAAAGGCGCTCAGCACACTCGCTGGCGCCAGGACCATTTTGCCCCTGTCTGGGACCACGTCCGGGAGGACGTTTGGGACTTTCGACCTGCGGCAGCGTCGGCGCCGCCACCGGACAACACCGGTGCAGGCCTCGTCATCTACGTCGGCGACATGCGCTGGGCCGTCGACAGCAGCAACGATGATTCTCTCTTTTTCATTTCCGCTGCGCACCTGGCCGCAGAGCTCGCCCGCCTGCTCGGCGAGCTCCGCCTAAAAAAGCACGGGCACGGCAGGCGCGCCTTCTGGTGGAGAGCGAGCTACGGCACCTTCACGTTGCCAGCGGTCGTCCCTGGATTTAGCCGTGAAGCAGAGCTGCAAACCTGAAATCTTCGGGTTTTAAAGGCGAGCACGCGAACTCCAAATTTTGCCTTCCTAAAATGACGAGTACGTGGCCACGCGTGCGGACAGCGCTAGAAGGCGTTAACGGCGAGCATCTGGTGCAGAGGCAAACACGCTGCTGATTTTTACTGCCCCTCCTTCGATCTTGTTCAGTCGATTTGATGTGGAAACGTGGTCATCGCCTTTAACAAAAGTTGTTCATCCAACAGAGGTCTCCAACTTTTCTTTAAGGATCAACATCTAAAGCTAACTGGTTAGGAAGATTTTAAATTTTGAAAGCATGAACATGAAACTGGAAAACTGAATTTGATTTCAGGATTTTGCAACCTGCTTTTGATTAGCAAACTTTGATTAATTAACTAATGGTCAAACATCTATCAAACGAACCACTTTTATCATAGCTCAATCATTTTTAGGAATTGCCAAATTTTATTTATAAAAATTCATTTGATAACCAAAATCTGATATCCTCCAGGGACGATTGAATAAACGCATGAAGGTGCCACTAAACCAGCCAGGCGGTGCCCGTGTCTGCGGCGCGGAGGCGGAAACAACAGGCGGCCGAGCTCTGCGGCCAGGTGCGCAGCAAGCCGCTGTCGTCGCTGCTACTGTCGACGGCCCAGCGCATGTCGCCGACGTAGATGACGAGGCCTGCACCGGTGTTGTCGGTTCCTGTGGCGGCGCCGACGCTGCGGCGCAGGTCGGCCGCCCACGCGTCCATGTCGGCGCGGGTCATGAGCCAGACGTGGACGTGGAAGAAGCAGGGGGCAAACCGGTCATGCTAGCGATAAAAGGGCATTCCAGCGAGTGTGTCCACTTTCATAATGACAAACGAGTGAATCCCTTTTGCGGAATGACAAAAGAGCGAAGCCCACGTTTAATAATGGCAAAATTCCAATTATCTCCGATTAGACCGGATTTGCGCTTTTTGGCGGCGGCCGCAGCGGCGGCTGGCGAGGGGGTCTGGGACTCAGGGGGAGGGTTTGGGACTTTCGGTGGGGTAGTGAGAGGACTGGGGAATGCGGTAATCTGATGAATGAGCGGCCATGATTCTCTCTTTTATTTCCCGCTGTTGCGTTGGCCAAATAAAAAAAAAAGGAGAAAATTTCTTATTTTTGACATAGAAAAACTTCTTGTTCCTAATTTAGCGTTCAAACCTGAAATCTTCCTTATCTAGCCTCTCTCGAAATTTTGTTCCTAAAATGACAGTACCGTCAGATTGGGCACGTAACGGTGTTAACTCAAACACGAAAGGATGATTTTGCCCCCTCCGATCTGCAGTCTGTGGCACCATTCTCCCTGATAGACATGTTTAGGCACCATTTTTTTTTCTTTTTAACATGGTCGCTGTTCACCGCAGTACATTAGTGTTTTGGTGTTTTTTTTTCTTTAGGACCATTTTTGTACCATTTTTTAGGACCATTTTTGCAATAATTTTTAGGACCATTTTCGCATCATTTTTTAGGACCATCTTATTTCGGTGATTGAATAAAGACATGCTCCACTAAAAAAAGGCGGTCGGTCTATGAAAACAGCAAGCGGTCGCGGCGGCGCAGCAATCCTTGCTCCCGCCGTCTCCCATCCCGCCTCCACCGGGCCATCTGCGACTGACGCCTCCCATCCCGGCGTCCTGTATTCCGGCTCCAGGCTTCACACCTCGGTAGGACGACCATCGGCTCTACGACATTGACAGCCATTTTTTTTTATTGCAGTCCAACACTGTTCTGAGCCGGGGCCATGCCTGCTTGGGCCTCGCCGGTGCCAGGAGGGGATGCACCCGGACCGCGCGGGGTGGTGTCAGGTAATCCTCTTGGGTCTGGGACCATGTTTTGTGTCGGTGCTCTCTCTCTCCGCCGCGTGCGTTCCGTAAGGCGGGAGGGGGGGCCGCCGGGGCTTCCCATACGGCCGGCCTGGTTTTTGGAGTGCCAGGGGCAAAACTGAAATCCAGGACCCACCATATCCCACGTTGATAGCTCTTCGTCTGTTCTTCCTTCCACGTTTGGAAGTGCTTTTACCCACCTTCATCGGAACGTGTTCTGTCCACGTTTTCTTTTTCATCGGAAAGCCGAGCACCCACACAAACAAGTCCGAGCCAGCCACCACACACTACACACATGTGAAAAAGCTAAAAATAGAACCGAGCACCCATATATATATATATATATATATATATATATATATATATATATATATATATATATATACACACACCTAATACTAAAGAGGCAAAATTTTTGGCCACTTTAGATTTTCGTCCAACCTATAATCCTAAATTGGTTCCGTCTCCTAATCAGCCGATGGCAGCCTCTCCTCCTCATAACCGAAATTAGGAGTGGGAAAAGAATAGAAGAAAATACAGGGTTTCATATATAAAAATGCCAGAGAGAAAGAAAAGATGGGAGGGTCTTAATAGTTTTTGAAATAAATCGGGGTTCCTGATGTAAAATATCTAGATCCGAGTGGGCCTCTCCTGGGCTGAATCCTTGCAGTTGGGCCGACTTCATTGTGGGTTGCATCTAACTTCAACTCTTGAATTAACGTAAGTTAATGTTTTAATTTTTTACACATCGACAAAAAAAAATTACGAAGATTGATATGATGCGCCAAAAAAGCTACAAAGGTCGATATTGAGTTATAGAAACACATGGGTAGTATGAAAAAAAAAAGTTATGGTATATTTATAGCTAAATAATTATGTGCTTTGCAATGGAAGAAAAATATACCAAGGTGTATTTTTATTTGATACAGGTTTCACTCGCACAAAAAAAATGATATAGGTTTAATAGGACATTGTTATTTATTGTCAGCATTAACTTATATTATGGATGTCACGGTCATCATAAAATAAATTATAAAAGGATAAAACATAAGTAGATATGTACCATTCACGTTATCGTTTTACATGAATGTTTAATAGTTGTTTTCTCCCGTTGCAATGCACGGACATATTTGCTAGTGTATAACAAAACATTATCAATACTTATGATTCCAAATAGGTGCCTATAAAAATATATTTTATGATTAATAATTTAATAATATGTATTTGAAATTATAGATATTAGCATATTTTTATAAAAATTCAGTCCAACTAAAGACGATTTTTTTTCAAGGTAACTAAATATGATTTGAATTAACACAATTATATTTTTTTCTAGGACAGAGTATATGTTGTACAACAGTCCTAGAAAACGTCTTACGTTTTGGGCGCAATGTCTAATGTAAATTCATCTTTTGGAGAGGGATATTTTTGGTCCTGTATGCAACAATCATAAATCTGCAAGTAGTAGGTACAGAACAGAATATAGTGTCTTCCTCTTTAAATTCTAGACCTCACACTTCTTCTCGCAACATCTTCCTGAATCCTGATGCACATCTCCCATAATGCCCTTCTTAGCGCTAATTTCTACTCTTTAAATTCTAATTCACCTCTGTTACTTGTGCTTGAGACAAATCTTCGGGGTTATTTTGGTCGTATTATTTTTCTCCAAAAAAGATATGATTGCCAGAGCGAAGCGTGATTGGTTAAATCTTATATTTATTACTATCAAATGGGCTATAATGACGAGCTAACAGCTAAGTATAATAGTTCTAAAATGAAGCCATGGAATTACAAAAACTTTGAATTATTGATGAAGCATAGTTACAATAAACTGAGTTATTTCATGAATACATGCCACAAAAATTATGAATTATCGTTACTATATAGTGTGGCAGTAATTTGAATAACATCGAATAATATGCTTGATATTTATGTAGATTATTCGCTACTCTGTGGGCAAGCGATGACATCAGGAGGTCCTGTCTGGCCGGTCTGGTAAGCATCCTGGTCACTGGGAAGCATCACAAAGAAGAAGAGTCAGATGCAGGGTGAAGAAGCAGGGCATCTCTTTGTGAATGCATAATTCTGACGTAAGCTATGAAGCAGAATATGTGCTGATTGTGATCATAACATTCAGGCAGCAAGAATGGCAATATTGCCCATGTATGGTAACAAGGTCGATGGATTAGGAAAAGCAACATGAAATTTGATCATGGTGATAAATAAACAGCTTTATTAGGCTCATCCTACTCTGCTTCTAGAAAAAGAAGGGCCAAGAGAAGAGAAATTGTCAACCAGACGTGAGACGCAAGCTTTGAAATAGGGTATGGCATCTGGTTCTGTGCGGGAAAGAGCACCCAAAGGAGTAACGGTGATCTGGAATAAACAAGATATATGTATTAGAAGATATATGTTCTACAAGAAAATGGAAGTCGTATGGTAGCTAGGTCATTCTTACATATCCATCAACTAGGGAATTGTGGTCCATTTCCTCTCCTTCCACTCCATCGGAACTTCTCCCTACAATCTGTATGGAATTCCAGCAACAAAAACTATTACCATGCATTAACTCATCCATTTTAATTCGTAACATGAGATGTTTTAGCAAGCTAGCATAAAAGAGGAACAACAAAATGTCCAGAGATCCACCATGACATAGACAAACAGCTATCACTTATGTATATAGGTAGTCCTCATTTATAAAAGTGTGTAATATCAATATCAATAATGCAAAACCCATCTAAAGTTAATAGCTTAAAATCAGGCTACATCAGATCATTATGTTGAACATCAGAAAAGTGAATAGAATGATCAATTCAATTCTAATGTTCTGGGGCACAATGGTTTTTTATCTTAACAAACTATTTTTCTTAAAGGCTATCTATCAGATGTAGTTCAAATGTGATTGGCAGATTAGCATGAAGTTTGGAAATTCTAACTTACCACTCTCTTAAACAGTAGGTCATCTTCTGAAGTAACTAGTTCACTGTCCTTTTCGCCATCAACATCCATGTTTGCTGTCTGGTAACTTTCTACTGCAGGCTTCTTGTAAACCGTTTGCTCCCAACTAATTCTGGCCATGTATGTTCCTTGTTTTGTAATTTTGTAGCCCTATTGACGACAAAATAAAAAAAAACATATTTAGATATTCAATCTGTACATAAACAAAAAAAATGGGCATAAGTATTTTAAAGATTTTCTAGAGGCAAAATGCATTAACATTGAACAATAAGTGGAACCCAGCAGAAATATCAAAATCTTGGACTTTGACATGTCCTGGACCATGCTCCAGAGTTCCTCAATGTATTTAGATTTGCTTCCACTATACAAGTTTTAAAATTGTAAATTTGTAATCCAAAAGTATTCAGATCACTGTTGGAGATTTACCTTGTGGTGTGCAGCATCTGTTGGTACATCTACATTCAAGAATGATCCTTGAGGATAAGTCCCATTCTTGATCTCAGTCACGATAGCATTTATCAGAGGCATGCAAACCTCTGCAGACACCTTGAGGTCACTAACACTGCTCCGACCCGCAACCCTGTACAATTGGGAGACCAAATAGAGTTCACTTTTTGACTGGCTGCATAGATTCAGCAAAAGGAAGGACATGGCTGGGTGTTGGTGTATCCAAATATTGAGCATATGTCTACATCGAAATCGACTTTTAGGGTTTTCTTAAATGAACACTAGTAGGGTTATATGAAATCTGCGGTTCTGATATCTCCTGAAATTGCAAAAAGCCTGAGGTATTCGTATAATCATAACATGGGATTATTAAAGTTGACATGAAACTGGAATTAGTTCAATTTCCTGGGTAGAAGAAACATAGTTATTCCACATACGCACACACACAAAAGTTAACAGTCATTGGTCAATCCATTTTCTAGATCAACCATTGGCCAAACAATTGGCTTCCCAAAAGGAAAAAGATAATTAGGCAGCTAGTATCACCAAATATCAAAAGTTACAGTCATTGGTCAATCCATTTTCTAGATCAACCATTGGCCAAACAACTGGCTTCCCGAAAGGAAAAAAAGATAATTAAGCAGCTGGATCACCAGATATCAGTCAACTACTTCTATAAGAGAAGTAGTTCTATGTTTTATATTTTAGATTATATTGTATCACAGCATTTGCCAAACACTTCAAAGGATTCAACAGAAATTGAAAGCACACTACAGAGTATGTAACTATTGTTAACGATCTTCTTAAACTTTATGGTCCATTTAGCTTAAGAGGACTTTAGTCCAAACATGATATACAACAGTAAATAGCATATACTCAACGATGAATGTAACAATCATTGAAGCCAGTATTCTTATGGTTTAATCAGCATTAAAACTGAAGAGCCTATCTTCATATAGACCATTCTTCATTCACATGAGATGCACAGATCTATAATAAAGAATAACATTTTATATAAACATATAGATATTTTTGTCACCAAATAACAAGCAGCTGCTGAGTGTGAAGAAAGTGGTTTTAACACTCCACATGAAAACAATGAAGAAAAACATTGCATACCAATCATATGACATAGCTATCGCAGGAATCCCATATAAGAATGCCTCCCTAGCACCAGCAACTGTTCCAGAATAAATGCTGCAGATTAAAAGCACAAAAATACTCATGAGCCATTGCTATATACATATATTTCTTTCTGAACCTAAAACCAAAAGTGTATAATTAGTTGTTACAATTTCAAACATATAAATTAGAGGACTTCTTAACTCTAGCAATATGTTTAAGATCATGTCTGTACTGACAGAGATACTTACACATGGTACCCACAATTGTTTCCAATGTTGATTCCACTAAGTACCTGCATTAAGGATCATACAGAACAGAATGGGTCTCAAGTATTAGTCATGACAGACTAGAGTTAAACAAAGAAACTATTAGTAAACAGAGTTTGGATAAAAGTACAGAATGAATTTCTTGTGCTATGAAGAAACTTCAAAACTCACCAGATCAGGAACCAAACCATCAAAGAGCTTTCCAGAGATGCCTAAAGAAGCGCAGTCAGCAGGAGTTCCTAGCATTGTTAGGAGATACCATCAGCATCCAACAAGCAATGTCTTTGAAATTAATATGATTCCAAATGTCTTATATGGGAAAGCTCATATGCAAACAAACCTGAAACTCCAAATGCTGTAGCACCCGTTATATCAACACGTTTACAGCGGAGTGCAGTGCGCCATGAGATGGAGTGGCTCACACCCGATTTGTCTCTGCATTTTGATGAAAAGTAGACAAAAATAAAAGAGTTAGGAAGAGGATTGGTGACATAGGATGAGCATGACCCTTGGCCAACTACAATTAATTAAAGACCAAAGACGGTCTTTCCTTTTTGACATGAATAAATAACAGCACTCATTTTTTTCAGATTCCTTCTGAGCAACCATGTTTATAATAAGTTTAAATGACAAATCCATTTCTGTGAAGAAAAAAATTAACTAAATTAATCGTAATTGCATCTCTTTTCTTCCCTTTGATTTAGGCACACCCATATCATTGCTTTTGCATCACAGTAGTCCCACAAAGACACTTTTCGTTGAAAACAAATCGGCAACTTGGATGGTGCATTTGCAGCAAATGGGTGAAAAATATTCCACGACAAGGACCGATTCCATGTTGTGCCAACAGCATCTGGCAAAGCTGATGCTCCCAAACACAACGCTCAACGCATAAGTAGTTATTTGTTTCTTCCAAACTGCTTTTTCGATTAATCATATATACGCAGGAATGTTCACTGTTTCATTTTTTTTATTAAAAGAAAAACTATAGCCATACCGAAAACACCTCTAAACATTGCAGCAAAACAGGATTAATTGATAAGTTTTGCTTCTCAAGGCCAACGTTGTATTTTCTGTCCCTTAATATGTTTACAGCAAAATTGCCCCCCACAATTTCATACCAATGAGGCAATGATCAACAGGGAGAATATCAGACACATTCGGAAATTAACGAAAACAATTATTTTATTTTATTTAGAGAATAGGTGACACTTATTCTCCAAATAGAAATTTGTTATCCCAAATTCCTCTGCTTCGTCTTCTGGGGAGAATGCCCTCACAATTCTAGTTCCTTGCCTACTACATCCTCTCGAGGCAAATCCCGTGATCCTACCACAGAATCTACGCAAGGCACCGACCAAACGACCAAGCAAGCAGGAAATCGCAAGGCAGCGAGTAGCAGATGGGGAGGGATCGCGAGGCGAGGGAGGGAGGAAGGACATTTACGTGTCAGGCGCACAGACGAGTACGCGGTATCGCCCCGCGGCGACGAGCTGGTCGACGAGGAAGCGGAGCCCCGGCGCGTCGATTCCGTCGTCGTTCGTTACCAGCAGCACCGGCGCCGCCGCCGCCGCCGCGGTAGCAGCGGCAGCAGCGGTGGAGTCCATGCGAGCCGAGACACGGGGATGGAACGAGATCGTCCGCAGTTGACAAATACGACTCGTCTCTGCGGTTCTCATCAAAGCCGTTGATACTAGATCCAGGTAAGCTCTAGAAAAGGCCTCAAACCGGCCCATGTGAGTCCATCCCACACCATTTTTATTTGAAAAAAGTCTACTTAACTCCTCTACTTTTCATACTTGTCTACTTCACTCCCAACTATAAAATCGTCTATTTTGCTCCCCTCCTCTTCTGGCGCCACATCGATCTATTTTACCCTCCTCGCGGCGGCGCCGTTCAGGAGCACCAGGTTTTCGGCTCCATCCTCTATGGTTTTGCCACCGAAATTTTTCCTTGTTTCTCGTCACCAAATGAATTTTAGAAAATCATAAAATGAAAAATCTAATTTTATTGCTGCCTCCCACCATGAGTAGATCCTCATCGCCGATGAATATATAATACGGTATGCTTTAGTACACCATTCCTCATCACGTTTTAGCTTTTCCCCGCCATCGCGGAAAATCCAATTTTGTGTCTGTCGCCTTAATTAGAATTTATCTATAACTCAGAATACATAATCCAATGAAATGTGCTTGAAGGCGTTTTTCACTATCTTTCAAAGCACCACACTAAAAATGTTAACAAAATGTAAATTATCACCAATAGAAATTAGAACTCATTGTAAGAAGACATTGGTTTGTATATAAATATTCGAATGCATTTGTCAATGCAATTACAAAAGTTGTTAAAATCATATGATTTTCATCCAATTAAACAACATTGTCACAAAAGTGCTAGCACACTATTAACATTACATTCAAATATGTAATCTAGAAAATATATCCAACATGAACATTGCTTTTTGAGCCATATATTATGCATGATCTCATGATTTAATAGAATTCATCAATAACATCATCATCACCGATCCCTAAAATAAAAAACAATAATTCAACATCATAGCTATGTATGGTTCGGAAAAAGGTTTGTTACTTTGAAATATTACCGTCAATAGTTCGTAGAAGATATTAATGGCCATATATTGTTCGTAAAACCCTTCCTCGAACAAAGATGACATTTGTATTTAGCTAAGTCGAATCGTCACTTGTATAGTTTCTTGCTCCTTGATTATTAAGAGAGAATCAAATAGTTAAATACAATTAAAACTTTTTTCCATTCTTATCCCTTTAGAAATCTGATATTTTTTTTGCGGATACCTTGGAACATTTTTCTTTTTTTCGTTATACACCTTTGATTTTTTTCCATCGTCATCGCACACCTTTGAACTTTTTTCTTTTTTGTTGCCTCCCTTTTTTGTAAATTTGCGCTTCTTGTCAAGCCAAGTTCTTTTTCGCTTCGAGCTTTTTGTTTCCACCTCCTTTTTCTTTAGTCTTGTTGTACTCAACAATTCAGTGGGTGGAGTAACATTGGTGGGAACATTGATGGGATCAATAGGACTTGCAACACCACTGATTTCTTCTTCAACTTGTTTGCCTCTCGTCAAGTGTGTTGTTTACTAATTGATCGGGTGTGCACTTTGGATGGTCAGCGCTCGATGTGCCAAATGGAGAAATTTGTGAGTCATATCTTTGTAGCGAAGCATATCATCTAGTTTTGTTTTCTATTATGTTTCGGCCTTGGTTGTTGAAAGGATCAAGATGCCTAAAATGGGAGAGTGAATTAGGCTGATTCTAAAATTCTTTGCAATAATTAAACCCTACACTTAGCCCACTTCACCCTTTATGCCTAAAATGTGATTCTAATGATCTACCGCACAAAAGTTTAGCACACTAAGTTTCAATCTGACTCTAGCAAGATGCTTATTACTATAAAATGACTTCAAGGTGTTCTATTGCTCAAAATCTTTGGGTGCTACCACACTAAAAGAAGTTAACAAAATGTAAATTATCACTCAATAGTCATTAACACTCATCCTCGTAAGAAGACATTGGTTTGTATATAAATGTTCGCTGCATTTATCAATGCAATGCACAAAAGTTGTCGGTTGATCATATGTTTTTGTCATCCAAATGAAACAACATTGTCACACAACTTGAGTTGCTAGCAAAGGTCATAATGGCTAGAACAATTGCAATTGAAATACAACAACACTTAACAAAATATATGAACAATGATGACATTGCTTTTGGTGAGCCATATAATCCATGCATGATCTATACTAATAGAATTCACCAATAACACCATCATCTAAAATAGATCCTCTAAAACTAACTAAAAGAACAATAATCAAACAAACATCATAGCTATGTAAAGGTTTGAGAAAATGTTTGTTACTTTGAAATATTACCGTCAATAGTTCGTAGAAGATATTAATGGCCATGTATTGTTCCAATGTAGACCAATCACCTCGAATCAAAGATGACATTTGATTTTTACCGAGGTTCACTTGCTTACATCAAGCTAGTCCTCGTTGTGGCGATTCACTCATTGTATAGTTTCTTGCATCACTTTAGATTAAAGAGAATCAAATAGATAAATACAATTAAAACTTTTACTAGAGTGGATAGCTCCGCTTAGAGAAATCAAGATATATTTTTGTTGCCGATACCTTTGAACATTTTTCTTTTTCTTGTCATACACCTTTGACTTTTTTTCTTTTTTCTTGTAACAAGCACAAATCTGCTTTGAACTTTTTCACTTTTTTGTTGCCTCCTCTTTTTGTAAACTTGAGCTTCTTGTCAAGAATCAAGTTCTTTTTTCGCTTCGCTCACAAGGTTGCTTGTTTCAATGAAAATGTGCCTTTTTCTTTAGTCTTGTTGTACTCAACAATTGAAATAGGTGGAGTAACATTGGTGGGGAACATTGATGGGATCAATAGGACTTGCAACACCACCCGATTTCTTCTTCAACTTGTTTGCCGAGTAAAGTGTTCGTTGTTTACTAATAAGGTGCACTTTGGATGGTCGGGACACTGATGTGCCAAATGGAGAAATTTATGAAGTCAAATATCTTTTCTTCGAGCGAAGCATATCATCTAGTTTTAGTATTTTCTATTATGTTTCGCCTTGGTTGTTGAAAGGATCAAGATGCCCAAAAGAGGAGGGTGAATTAGGCTAATTCTAAAATTCTTTGCAATAATTAAACTCTTATACCCTTGCCCACTTCACCCCACTTTTTGCATCCGCTAAAAAATGTGATTCTATTGATCTAATCCGCATAAAAGTTTAGCATCCTAAGTTTCAATACAAACACCTTTAGCATGGCAATTCTAAGAATGTAAAGACAAGAATTGAATTGCACTCAAATCCTAAATACTCAAAGTAAAGAGAGTGGCAGATAACCGCATTTCGATATGAGTTTCACCCCTTTTAATAGTAGGTATCAAACCTAAATGTGATCACTCCCTAAGTGTCTTGATCACCAAAATAAAATAGCTCGTTATAGCACCCTTGCAAGAGTTTTGTTTTTCTAGCTTTAAGCCCTTGATCCGCTCAAGGATCATGTTGTCATCTTATGATCTTCATTTGATTCTTACTTGACACTCCCTATCTCATGATCACTTGATGAATCGCCCAGCACTTACTCCATCAATTTACAAAACTTGAGCTTTCAGTTGGGTCATCCCAAGCTCACGGGATGATCACCAAACTCTCGATCACCACCAAGCCATCTAGGTGATGGCGATCACCAAGAGTAACAAGCACGAACTCTCACTTGACCACAACAAGCCTAATGAGAAGGGTGGATGCACACTTGCTACTCTCCTTACACTAATGAGGCCTTAATCTTGGATTCTCAAATCTCAATCACCTCACTAGGCTCTTGCTTTCCAAAGCACTCTCAAGGGTGTTTCTCAGCTGATTAAATGGGCAAGAGACCTCCCTTGGATGAATAGAGAAAATATTTATACCCTCTCATTCAAAACGAATCGTTAGGAGGTTGCGTCAGCATTCTGCGGGGTGATCGGACGCTTCGGCCAAGGTGACCAGACGCTCCGGTCAGTTATCCCCACCACAGAGCCGTTAAGTTGTGACCGGACTCTGACCTGCGTCCGATCAACACTAACCGGACGCGTCCGGTCACGAAAACTGCTCTTTGGAACCTTATTGATGTTGACCGGACGCTGGCGCCAGAGTCCGGTCACTTTGCTGTTCAGCGTCCGGTCAACCATGATTGCCCAATCAATTGCCATTACCATGACCTAACTTAATTGCCTTTGCAAAACATACGTTAGTCATAATAATCATGTATTGTCATTAATCACCGAAACCCAACTAGGGGCCTAGATGCTTTCAATCTCTTCCTTTTTGGTGATTGATGACAATACAACCTCGAGTATGTAAAAGAGATGAGGTTTTCAACATGCTTGGTTCATATAAGCTTTTGACAATAAGAACAAAAGAGTTAGGCATGCTTATATGACCCAAGCCAACATGATGTACTCAATAGATATGAAGTAAGCATGAGTATCGAAATAAAGCTCATTTGAATCGGAGTAAAACACGAAAGCAAACCAAATGAGCATAATGAAGTGACATAACATATATAAAGATCAAAGTAGAGAGCACACATGTCACATATCACATAAATATCACACATATTACATAAATATCACAATCACACGTATGTAGTTCAATGCATGAAGGTAAACATGAATGTATAGTAATGTATCACACATAAAAAGCCAAAAGTACTAAATCATAAGCTCCCTAAGCTCCCCCTAGATATAGCGCTCCCCCTAGATCTAACATACTCAAACCCTCTTCCCTTTGGTGTCAAGCACCAAAACCTAAGGGTCTATCAATGGGGCAGGAGCAGACGAATCAGGCGCTGAGGTGCGGTGAGCGATCTAAAATTGTGTAGCATCATTGTCTGATCCGGAGCTCTGAGCTGTTTGACCCTCTGTCGCAGAAAGTGAAGCTAAAGCGGTCTAGGTCTACTGTGGGACTGGTGCGACCTGTGACTCTGCAGGTACCTCTATAGCAGCTGGCTCTGATGATGCAATAGAAGAAGGGAGCATCTCTGTGGTCCCAGTAACTGGAGCAAC